GGTATTGTGGGGCTTTGATTTCATATTTTCTTGGGTAATGGTTAAACCTATTGCCTTAGTTAAGGCCTTGGAGAGTTAAATCAAGCCTCTAAACTTAGAGTTTTGGATTATATAGTGATTTAGAGTTGTTGGTTAGGGTTTGGATAAACCTTAGGTAGAACTTGGATGATTAAGAACAATTTGGTTAATGTAGTGGTGTTGTTTATGTGTTGGGGGTGTTAAATAGGGTTAATATAGTGTGTTGGAAGGATTGTTGGGGCTAAATTGAGGTTTTGAGTATAATGGGTACCCCTAGTTGTATTATATAATGAGGTGATTAGTGTGAGGATTTGACAATTAAGGGTTTAATTATGTAGATTAACTTTTGATTGAGTATTGTGGTGCTAGTGGACGAGTGTAGAGCCATTGGTTAACCACGATAACCCTTTTAGTGACAAAAGGATTGAGGTAACCAGATTGTCTAATCTCCCTTTTTGTATATTTAGATGGTAGTGTGTTTCATTTAAAAGTAATGTTTTGGTTTGATACTAGCCTAGTAAGAAAATGAAATGATGATTTGTGAAATTATGTGAAGTAGAATGAAAAGTTATTTTTAATGTTCTAATTTTTGGAAAGTAAATGCCATTTTTATGTTTTCGGAGCAATTGTGATAATTGATATGTTATGAATATGTGTTGGATGTATTAAGCATGTTTGGCATGATCATTATGAGAGGGTGAAAGTTTATCCTAGTGTGTTATTAAGACATTGTTTGGAAATCCATATGGTACACTAGCACCGTGGAGGCCTCGATGCTCAATATTATATTGTTTGAAAGTCCTAGTACTATAAGTGATAGATTAGGCATCGACACCCCTAGTATTTGTGGATAGGGGGAATCTGTGGTCTATAGTGGATGAAGGCACTCTTAGTCAGGGCTGCCTCCTACTAATGGTGAACTTGGGCTAGTCCAGTCACATGGACTTGGTCCTATCGAATTGTCAGCTTACAGATTCAGTTGGAAGATATAAGGAGGGTATAAGGTGGTATGTTGATCATGCATATCATACTATAACCATATGTGTGGATTTATGAGACATGTTATATGATTTACTATGCCATTTTACATATGCATAAACTATTCTCACACACGAGTAGTTGATTAGACTATTTGGTTGTCGAGTCCTTAACTTACTCCGTGGTTACATTTTACAGGTGAAGGCTTCGATAGAGGCAAGGGAAAGGAAGGTGCAACTGAGCATTAAGGGGACTAGCTCTTAGTTGTATAGTCTTTTCACTTATTTTGGTTTGTGATGAATGGTTGAATGCATATGCCAATTTAGGACACATATAGTTTTGTGATACACTACATGTATTCTGTTGTTAACTATGGGTATCTCGACTTAGGTTTGTTGTATTTGTGTTGTAATGGCTATGAGAGGTTGAGATACTAGTGCAAGTGTTAGTTTTATATTGATTTATGTAATAGATTGGCCATTGGATTGTTTATGAAAAATTGTTACCCCTAGTGAAATTTATGTTAAAAATGGGGTTTTGGTGGCCAAATCTTGTCTGGATTATTGTGATTGTGATTTGAATGCTTGAATAGGTTGTTTGTAGTCCATTTGAGTTGGTCTAAGTAGTTTCATGGTTATCAGCACTTAGTTTAGGGATTTAGGCACCTTGGATGTAATTTTTGAAAGAAAATGAGCATTTTGGGTTCGGGTGTCCAAATCTCATTTGGCTCAGTATTTGGGGGTGGGAATGGTACCAATAGCTAGATGGCTCTTAAAGCTACGTGTGGATGCTTAAATCGCTTGAATTGGATGTTGGACGGCGAAATGGCGCGTTCTGAAAGTTGGCTCGGAGAGCTGTCATGACAATGGTTGCGCGCTGCGGTGCATTGTCTATTGCACCATGATGTGAGGTACAGAGAGGGGCATTTCCCTCTGTGCAGTCCGCCGTGGCAGATGATGTATTGTGTCACAGCACACTATGCCTATATGGCTAAAATGTATTGTTGGTTATTATTTTGTAGCTTGATGAATTTCCTATGATTATGTTGTCTAATTTAATTAGTTTTAAACTATAGTTTGAGCTCAAACGATCTTTGAAAAGGTTTTTTCGGGATCCCATTTTTCTCAAATATTCTTTAACCCTTGGGTTGTGATAACTATTTAGGGGATTAAGGTAATCTTAGTTATCATAACATTGTCCGTGTTTGGTGTTCTGTATATTTGGTAATGTCGGAGATGACGTTACAGTTTTCTTCTCAAAAGTTACAAGCTTTAAAATGCAAATATGTCCTACAATTCCTAATTCCCCACCATAAATAACAATATAATAAGAATACCATTAAAAAAGCAAGGAACTTGGATCATCTAGTGATGAAATTGAACATTACATTAACTTAGGATAAGCTTCAATAATACACCAGACCTAGATCTCATCAAGCTTTCCAACCTTAAAAATTGGGTTTGCTTTAGCAATGGCATCCCTTGCAATAGTACATTAGTCAAAGGAGCAATCGTGCTTGTCTGAGTAGCAAATCTAAGTAAGGGTGATCAAGAAGACCATATGAGGCCAAAAAAAAACATTAGAGATGAATGACTCGAGCAAAGATGTAGATCTAACTGATGGCAAAGACAATAACAAATTAGTGCAAACGACCATGGGTCTGAGTGACAATGCAGACAAGCACGGATCTCAATGACAGCATGATGAGAGCTTGAGGTAAAGACTAGAAGAGTTGGGGATACATTTAAACTCATTTTTATAAGGGTTTGAACTTAAAACATGTCATTTTTTTAGGAAAACCGGGCTTTGAAGCCTAGCCCTGATGGGCCTTTGAAAAACAGGCTCAGGTAGCCCTTTTAAACCTTTTTTTCATTTTAACTCTAAAAAAATAAAATATTTTCATTTTTTAAATTGAATTTAAACTTTAAAATATATGTTTATATTTTAAAATTTGATTTTCTATTATTTATTTTAATTTTTTAATATTATAATTTGTATTTTAAAAAATACAAAATGTTTTAACTGAAATTTTTAATTTTTAAAAAATTTTAAAAATAAAAAATAATAATAAAGGGCTTATGAGCTAGACTCTAAGTTCTTTAAATAAAGGTTAGACTTTAAAAATCAAATAATTTTTAAAAAACTGAATTTAAAGGTTTGGCCCTCATGGGCCTGAACCCATATAAAGCAAGCTCGTTTGTTTTCCATCTTTAAAGACTAGCAATGCATATCAGAGACAATGAGGATAGAAACAGGGCAAAGAACCTTGCAGGTTGCCAATTCAGCTCTTGGTTTGTTGGTAAGAACATTTTGCTTTTACATATCAAGTCATGAGTTCGACTTCAACAACAAACCTTGCAGACTTACGTGAGCGAAGAGTTTTGGGAAGCTATGCTGATTGAATAAATAAATGGGAGAAGATTTTGGAAAACATTACCACGCTACCTACAAAGTGATCCTAATTGTTGAAATATGCATTGAAAAATTCAATTTCCATCTTAATCCTTATTATTTTGGGGTAGGTACAGACATGTCTTTTCCCAAAAACATTATATCCTGAAAAGAAAACACTTCCAAACAACTAATTGCTTTGATTGAAAGATTGACTTTTACGGTATAAATTATAGTCTGTCATATTAAAGGAGATCGCAATGTCATTGTTAATTACCTCTTAAGACCATAAAAGAGAATTCAGCTTATCATCTCTCCCAAAGCAATTCAACCCCTTTTCATTCTAGCCAAAACCCAAATGGCTACTACAGCCTCTGTTAAAGCCATTTTTTCTCCAAGACCTCAATCAAAAACTTGGCTGAGAAAAGTTTGTTTTCTTCACATTCTCCTTGAAAAACAAAGATTCATCGACGGCCTGTATACTTTAATAGAAAAACATAACTTTTAATTTCTGTACTTTGTTTGTATTTTGTTATAAGTTCTTGCACTTTTTTTCAGTATTCTGGGTCCCTATATTTTCATTTTTTGATGTTCAAGGTTCTTAAGTGAACAAAGTTTAGGGATCTTGGAGGGATCTAAAGCATTGAAAACTTAAAATGCAGGAATCCAAAATATAAAAAAAATACAGGGATCTATAACAAAATATGAGCAAAATTCACGGATCAAAAGTTATGTTTTCCTTACTTTAATATCAAAGCTTCATTCTCAACTACTCTTTTCTTTTTTCTTTTTATCTAACGTCTGATGCCTAATGAAGCAATGTGGTACATTTGGGCATTCTTTATTTTTTACATTTGTGATTTCACCTTTCCACCTCTTTAGAATTATATCCACCTGTGTGATTCCAGAGACAAAAATTCCACCCTTAGGACTTTCCTTAAATGGTTTTCATCATCACCCCGTGAAGAAAATTTTTCACTAAGTTACTGATCTACAGATCATTGCTAACTTAAAAAAACTTTAATTCTATAAATTTTAATATAGTAGCTGTCATTGTAAAGGTTTTGTTGTCATCTCATAGAATAAAAGTTACTATTTTTTAAAGTGAAGTATACATTGATTTCCAATTCCATTCCAGGTCATCCCCTCCCAACAAAAGGGCATTGAGGTCAATTTACAAATAATATCTGAATGTTAGAAATGGACCCAAAGATTTTAGAGAAATAAGACTATTTTATCTTGGTGTTAAAATAGACCCATATATTTTAGAAGAAATGAGAATATTTTAATATTTTTGATCTTGTATTATTTTCATATGTCTATTTTGGGTATTTTTCTGCATAAAGTGCTGTAATAAAACAAAGAAGTCTAATTTAGGATTTAAAGCATTTGAAATTGAAATTGATGAATTTAGGTAATTTTTTTTGTTTAGTATTTTTATTTATTTTATTATTTTTTTGTAAAATATAAACTGTTTTTATTTCTAATAAACTTTGCATAAATTGATTAACATCAAATTCGGAATATATAAATCCCTGAATTTTGGTTTGGTTTCTAATAATTAAAATTAAAAATGGTTAAAAATCTTGATAGGAGCCCCCTCCCTGCACAGACTTCAGAGTTCAAAGTCTCGCGACACAATCCCACAAAGCTTGCCATCACCCAGTCTCTGGAATGGTAATTCCATTGAAGGAAAGTCGAAGATAGTGAGTTTCAAATTTTCTGAAGCGAAACTGCGAAAGCTTAACAATCTCACAGAGCCTTCACTCAATGGAGATTGGCTCTTCCCCCTCAACCTTCTGCTTTCAACCAGCACTCCAACCACTGATTAAAACTGGTACTAGTGTTTCTACTTGCTGCTGGAGGAACAGAAGAGTTCTCGTACAGAGCTTGCCAGTCTCTTACCGGAAGTTCGTTGACTTCGCTTTGGAAGAAACCAGACACCACACTCATTTGGTTCCTTCGCCTTTACAGGTATGGCTTGGATATCTGAACTACTTTGGATTCCATCCTGTTTCTGATTCATCTTACGGTTCTTGAACTGGTTGTAGTTGATTGTTAAATTGGTTCTTAATGCTGGTTTTTGGCTTGGCGTTGAAGTTGAAACCAAGTATAAGCATTTCAAATTGGTAAGATTTTGAACTTAGGACTATGGGATACCCTAAACAGATAGTATCGATTGAATTGTCAAATAATTCTTTGCTGTCAGAATGAAAAAAAAAATGAATGATTTTTGGTTGCAGATATATGGACACCGGACACCAAATTTCGTAATGCATCTATGCTTGATTGATTTACGCTCTCTGTGAGTTACGCTTGCTACCAAGGGGTAATATAGAGAAGAAATAAAGACGATATAAATTTGATACGTTGTTCTCGCAAATGTCTTTGGTGTTGGCTTTTAAAAATCTCTTGGTCAATGCTGAGACCTTCCAAAGGTTGTTGAATTAGTAATAGTTGTGACACTAGTGCGCGTTCTTACTTCCAGAATGTTTAAATGATGCAAAATGATTCAACCAATCATTTTTTCTACTTCAATCCTCCCTTTTGTTATTATGTTGGTTACATTTATAGAGTATTGATGCTCACTCTTGGTTATTTATATTGTCTAAATATTTGCCTTAGAAACTTGATTATTGATGATTCCAATCATTATGGTGATTAGTGCCCATGATAGCTTCTTTATGAGTAAGTAGATATATATTCAATTTAATGTTAGTGCAACACAGAATTCTATGAAGTACTAAAACTTAAAAGGGTGGCTGTGTCCAATGTTTGGGCATCGATGCTCATAACGTGATCATACTCTTGGTAGAATGCTACTTCCTGTTTTTAAATCTTAGTCATGGAAAATGATCCTGAGGTCCCAAAAGATCAATGTGATGCCAGTTAGGTCCCAAAGAATTATACTAAAACATGTGATAGAAAATATGGGAGACATTATTCTAAAAAAAAAAATAAAAAATAAATTCTCTTTATGTTATTTTAATATTTTGTAAGAAGGGAAATCTAAAGCCAAACTTTGTATGGACAAGGTGTTAAGGTTTCTTTTGTGTTCTTTTGTAAGAGAAAATCTGAAAGTTAGCTCTATATGTAGATATGATTAAGGTTTTCTTATTTAGGCATTAGAGTTTTGTTAAATAGACTTGGTTGCACTTGCAATGGACACACTTGATAAATGAAAATTGTGATTGAATATTCAGATAGCTTTCCCCTCTCTCTGCATTCTGCCTCTCCCTCATGCTCCCCCACTGTTCTGTCTTCATCTTCTTCATTTCTTTCTCCCTGTTTCTGGTTTCTCTCTGCTCTCTCCCTCTATTCAGATCTGTGCCAGTGTGTGTTACATCAACATGATTTGCTAATATTGATTCAGATTGTTGCAGATATGAAAGTTTTAGTTGCAAATTAGGCATTAAAGTGGCATGAGTCACTTTTAGTAGCTTACAATTGAGACTCTCATATTTGCAACTATTTGAATATATATTTGCAACCCATCTTTCAACAAAATTGCTTGGGACTTAACTATTATTAAATTGAACTTTTATGACATAATTGTCATTCCCTCTTTTATTATAGCTGAACACCTCATGGGCATTTGTTATTAGTGTTTTAGAGAATTCCTAAACACATTTTGTTGATGAGATTTTACAATTGAACATTGAAATAAATAATCACTCTGGTCAACATTTCATTTCTACTTTTAATTTCTTAAAATTAAAGTATATTTCAAAATTGTTTCATGACTTGTCCTTATTTTTCAGTTTTTGTTGCATTGGCTTGTTCGTCAAGAAGTGTCCTGTTCCTTCCATTGTATTCATGATTGTTTCTCTTTGAAATGTATTTTATGCCTTTTGGAAACCCATGGTCGTACTGAAATGTTTCACTTGCTTGAATTTTAGTTAGTGCACTGGACGATGTTTTAGTTTACTAAATTATAGGTACAGTCTATGGTTTTGGTTACTGGATTTTGGTATAGTATTTATGAGTATCCTGTCAACATTAACAAATGCTTACTACAATAATTTGTCTTACTAGGAAAAATTCAATTCTATCAATTCTAAGGATGGCAAAGGAGTGCTTCATATGCTGTCCTTTCAAGCTGCCAAGATTAGGCTTCTGCGAAGTTTGAGCATTGAAACTGAAACAATGCAGGTATTCCTTTTCTATTTAGTTAGGAAATGACATACCTTTTCTTTGGTTTTAAAGTGCCCCAAAATACTAGATAACTTCAGGATTCTTCTAAAGATAGTTACTTTTACTTTTGAAGTATTTCATTGAAAATGTTACTAAATTTGATGGTGTACATGGAATTGATTTTCACTACCATCTAACGAATGCTTTTGTTGTGGCTGGTAATTTATTATAGCTAGAATTATTGATCGCCCTCAATATTTATATTCCTTGCTGTCAATCCTTGTTTACCCTTTTGACCTGATCAATGAATTAATGAATGCCAAACAACTTTAAAGGTTCATCTGAAACAATTTGATGAAACCAGCTGCATAAAATTATATCATCGATCATTACAACCAGGGTGTAGGTCTAAGTGAGGAATTACAGAACGCTATAATTCTGGAAATTGAAGATGGCAATATCCTCGGCAAAACTATCTCTGCTTCCTATGCATTTGAGAGGCATAGGCTCTTCCAAATCCATCCCAAAATCTTCCTCACAAACCACCTTTGTGCAAAAACTATTCTCATTTCACCTCTAATGGTGAAAACAAGAAAATTCCCAATTGTCCTTAAATTAAGTCTTGGTATTTGGCTTTCTCTTGAGTAAGTGAATTGAGGCCCATTTCCATCATTACTCCCTACAAGAAAAATCCAAAAAATTAAGTGTCACCTTGTCCTCAAGGTGAAAGAAGGAAGACTGCTGCTGAATCACATAACAATTTTACAAAGTCTCATCATACTCAGGCAAGCCATGCCATTTGATGAGAATCTCCACTTGGCCATTGGTAAGGTGCCGAGCCTTTAAAACTGCCTTGGGTGAACCCTGTAACTCCACATGATCTGTTAAAAATGGAGGTAAAGACTGTGGAACTACAGAAGATGGTGGACATTTCCCAAGTTGACAAGTATGGAAAACTGGGTGAATACTCTCAGCATACTATAATTCTGGAAATCAATTATTACAACACTCTCAGCAAACTATCTCAGCTTCCCATGCATTCAAGAGGCATAGGCTCTCTCAACACTATCCCAAAATCTTCCTTACCTCCCCCCCCAACTAAAAAAAAAAAAAAAAAAAAAACAATGCGTTGTTCTCTATATACTTGCTGATGGCAATACTTCAAACTTCATCTACAGTTTCTCAAAAATCCCGACCTTTCTATTATCATTTAGGCATCCCTTCTCACCTGTCAAAATTCCTAGTGCTTGATTTGACAGTGGTGCTCCTTGCTGGATTTAATTTTCCATAATACCATTTTCATCATCTAACGTGAGGGATGTATCTTGATTGAATATGCATTTGGGGAATATAATTACAGAGGATTACAGTAACCCATTATTTCTCCTGGTCACACTCTTTATACAAAGCATCACATTTCATCCTTGTCACTGGTGTTAACCCCTACTCTCCATTTCTATTTCTAATTACAAAGATTGTGGCAATCTTTGCAATTAGAAATAGAAATGGAGTGAGAGTAGGGGATAACACCATTAACAAGTATTATGTGTGTATGTATGAAAGATCACAAGAAAATTGTTAAAATGAAAACAGAATATAATTATTTACTTTGTGGAAATCTTAAATGTTTCACCGTGAAAAATTGAACCCATAAGAGAAGAAAAAAGTCTCCAAATTTTCTTGCCTTCATATGAACTAGGACCAATTTTGAAGTTCTAAATGAATGAAAGAAAAATAAATAGAAGTCCTTGTTGAAGTGTTATGTGTCTTCTTGCCTTTGGGCTGAGTTATAAATTATTTATGCATGGTACATGCTGCTTGTTTTCTTCTCAATGAGCTTATAACTTTGTCTTGAACCCTTTTGTGCAGGTTCTGGATTTTGCTGTCTTTCCAAAAGTAGAATATGATGTGCCCATATTTTGTGCTAACTTTTTCACCAGTGGCAGATCAAACATAATTGTGTTGTGAGTCAGCATATCCCCTGTTACTGAGTGTGCTTTTTGTAGTTGTAGAACCTTCCTCCATATTGTTGGGCAATAATTATTATTATTATTTTTTTTTACTATTTTTGTGGTTGATGAATTTGTTCCTAAGCTAATGGAACTTACTTCAAGTCAATGCAATTGTTTCCTGTTCAAGTGTAGTTTTCTAATGTATACAATTCCCTTGGGTTGAACTCCTTTTAAAATAAGTTTTGTTCACTTTTAACTTTCTATTATCATTTGTTGCATAGCTTTTAACTTATAGATAATTCGACTGTAGGAATCATATGGCATGGAACTTTACATCATTATTTGGGTGTAGGGTGCTTATATATAGGGGAGAATGACATTTGGGTCCCAAAGGACTGATTTGATGATAGTTAGGTTCTAAAATGTTTTGAAGGAAGATGGGTTGCAAATATCTATTCAGAAAGTGCAAATGAGATTTTTCCCTGGGCCTGTAGTAGAATCTATGGGAAGGTAAGTGGTGTAAAGCAACCTCTAGGATAAGAGAATTATCCTAAGATTCCTAGCTGTAAGGGAAAGAAGTGGCTTGTGAGTGGATTTTAGGTGCAATTAGAGTATAGGCAGTGTTGTTGTAGCTCTTTGGTCTTCAAATTTTCCAATTTTGCTAGAGAGTGGGGAGTTGAGTCTCTAGCAAGTAATAGGGAGGATTGAGAGCTAGAAGCATTGCCATGTGTGTGTAGTTTTGTTTTGTTCTTGTATTTCTATAGTTTTTGTGTTTGCGACCTTTGTATCAATGGTGTATGATGGATATGGGATTGGCTTGAATCATTATTTCTTTTGTAATCTGATTTAGTTATTCAATAAAATTATTACCCACCACAAGTTATTTCCATTATCTCGATGTCTATTTTTTGGTTTTCATTTGTTATTTTCTCCTTAGAGTTGAGGGCTCTAGAGATAAAATGGCCTCCAACATCTCAGCTGATTGCTTTGCTAGTAATAAAGTTGGTTGCTTGAGTTGGGCAAGCATTTGGGCCTTACTTACATGGTAAATAGCATTTTCCCATCAAATTTAGGGTTCTTCCCCAACTAATTTGTTTGACTCAATCCACCACCCAAACTGCTTCTCCTCTTTTGGTCACTCACCATCAAAGAATACACACTTGATTTTGCTCTTTGGCTGCACCACGGTGCTCTGTCCGGCATCATGCTCCTCAAGCTCCCTTCTATGGTCCTACTTAAGCCAATGATTCTTGGCTATAGGTTGGGGTGAACTCCCTCTTCAATTCTTCCCCTACCTTTTCACCATATTCCAAGGACCATGGCCATGATACAAGCTTCAACTAAGGTATCCCTTCTTCGTTTCTCACCTTCTAGGGTTGGTGTCCTTTGTCATCTTTGTTCTTCTCATCTCTCTCTTCTTCAGCTATCTCATCTTCTATTTTTTCCTTCAATCCAGTACCCTCTTCTTTCGTATCCTCATTTGCTCCAACATTTTTTTCTCCTCAACTTGTGCCTCAGCTTCAACTTCAAACTCCTCCTTGGTTTTTCTTAACTCTTCCTCCATTTTTCTACTTTCTTTCCAAACTTCTATGGTGTCTATAATGTTATCCTCATTCATTCTCAATATCTATGTTCTTCTAGAGTGATCACCATCTCCTCCCCAAGATTGTACTACTCTCATACCAAATGGTAGAGCCCTCAACTCTAAGGAGAAAATAAAAAAAAACACAAAAATAGACAAGAAGATAATGGAAATAACTTGTGATGGATAATGCTTTTACTGAATAACTAAATTAGATTACAAGGGTAATAATGATTCAAGCCAATCCCATATCCCTCATACACCTTGATACAAAGATTGCAAACACATAACAGTGACAAAAATACAACAGAACAAAATACACACACAAGGCAATGCTTCTGGCTTTCGAAAGGCCAGATCTCTCTCAATCCTCACTATACTTTTAAAAGTTTGAACTCCCCTCTCTAGCAGATTTGGAGAATTTAAAGACTAAAATGTTACAACAGCACCGCCTACACTCGAATTGCATCTAAAATCTACTTGCATACCACTTCTTTTTCCCTTACAGCCAGGAATCTTAGGATGATTCTCTTATCCACTGGAGTTGCTCTTTCTTACACCATTTCCCTTCTCATATATTCTGCTATATGCCCTAGGAAATGATTTGTAAATCTTCCTTGAATCTTCTGCTCTATCAAAATCACTGAGAGCAAGGGCATTTAAGTCCTTCAAGTCACTCTCAGCATTTAAGACTCATATTTGCAACTCATTCTCCTTTATAATGTTTTGTGATCCAATAGTCAATAAATTGGTGTTTTGGAGCCTAACTGTCATTCTGCCTATATTCGACCAGACCAAAATGTCAGTCTCATTAATTAAGTAAAAGAATTAGTGTTATTGGTAGCCCTGAGTGAACTGAGCGAAAATAAATATCATATTTACAAGGCATTAATTAATTATTACCAGCCGACTTTTGTGAAAGAAAGTGCCATTATTCTTTGGAGAAGGTTCAAACCTCTTTTTTATCAGTTTATATTTGAAAATATCTGAATGGATTTTTTTATTTTTGGAGAAGTTTATTTTGATGTGGTTCAACACTTGATAGGTATTAAGAAGGCTTAAAGTGGCTCCCCTATTTCATGTTGACTTTTTTCTTTTTCGATTGGATTATCAAAACCCTCCTTTTATTTTTGTTTTCCCTTCCAGTTCATGTTTCTTTCCCATTCTTGTTAGTATATTATGTGACTTTTGTTAATGTAATTAGAAATCGTAGTTCTTCTATTGTTTTCTTGTAACTATAAGTACAGGGTCTTAAAGAGAGTGAAGAAGTTTTTGTCCTAATAATCAGAACTCCTACATGCAACCATCACAATCCAACTAGCAATGCTTCTTTGACTGTTTTTATCAGTTAGAGTTTGCATAGATTGACTTAGATTATGTAATTCTGTATAATCAAAAGATTATGAAAAATCCCTTGCTTGTTTCTATTCTTTTTCTACCATATTTAGAGAATTCACCGTCATACTAGTCAGTCTTGGTATGTATTTTGTGAAGATGACTATTTGACTTTACCTATTTTTTTTTTTCCCACCCCAAAGAAATTGGAGCACTATAATTATGAGTGGCAAATCACAAGAATGTGACTTCATGTGGACTTTAGTTTTCTAATAATTTGCTTGATCTAGCATTATAGTTTTTACTAATGAACTTCTTTATACTGTGTATGAACACTTTAAAATAGTGTATGAAGTTGTTAATACGTTTTCCAAATTGAATGTGTTAACTTCGAAGTATTCAAGTTCAGAGGGAACTCTATAACTATAGTGACAAATAAAAGCCTTTGTTGTCTCAGCAACTACAAAACACGAGTGCCTAATTTGTGCAATATGACTTCATTTGTTGTACTTTCATTTTGGGTGCAATGCTTTCCCCTCAATTCCGTTTGCATCTATACATGTGATTTACATCATCAAAACTTGGTCAAAACAATGTAACTGTTAAATCATAAATCTAAATTTTGGAAGTGTTGCATCTACTAAGTTAATGAAGAATAACCTGACATCTTGCTGGATTCCCTCCTTTTATGGTTGACAATGAGCATTTAACACTGTGCTTCCCCTTTATTTTTCATGCTCTGATGGCATTGGCAATATTACAAGAGTTCTCCTCTTTCCTTCTAAGTTCAAACATTATAAACAAATTACAGTGTTTTATGTGGAGCGCTAACTCTGGAGCATAGCATTAAAATTACAGGGACCTTAACCCACTGCATGATATTATCAATCAGCAGGATTACAAGGAAAAGTACTTTAAACGCTTAATTCCCCTTGGCCTCAATATTCCGAGGTAACTACAAATATATAGTTTGGCATGTTTCTCAAGTTCATCTTTGAATCTGTTTAACTTAACACTTCTTTGACTTCTTTCTATAATGATCTAGGTTTCTTAACAGAACACAAATTTCATGCAGCTTTTACCATGGGGAGGGAAGCTCACAAGCGAGTCCCTACAATTTTTTTCACCCATTGTCATATGGACAAAGTTTTCTTCAAGTCCAGAAAACTATGATATTCTGTATTCTGCATTCCAGGATTACTACAAGGTATTAACACCATGATCGATTTCCGCTATACTATATCTCAATTTTGCGATACTTTAAAGATCAAAATTCAGTAGCTTTCTCAATGTATTACCCATTAAACTATTAAATTTTTCTATATGACCCTTAATCTGCAGGCATGGCTGGAATTAACAGGCAAAGCAGTTGAGGAGACAGATGCATCTCAGATTTCCTGCAATCGTGAAGCACAACATAGATATCTAACCTGGAGAAGCAGAAAAGGTATTGGGATATGTTGCTACTCATACAGTCATATGATTGGTCATTTGACTGTATTAACCTCTATGCTTGCGATAGAATTAAACGAAATTCTAAATTAGCATCTTCCCTTGGAGTCTGTGGATACAGAGTTCTCTAGCATTTCTAGTCTTCCCACAACCTATAGTTGATTATTAATCTGACGATATTCCATTATTCATATGCTGCGTGAATTAACCAAACCATTATTTCAGTGCTGCATTTTCTAATTGTTAATATTGTCAACAAATTGTTTTTGAACTGAAGGCCTAAGCAAAAGGAGAGAGTGATTTACGAGGATGACAATAATGGTCTCCAAGGACATTTTAATTAAGCCTAGAAGATTCACTGTACATTTTGCATTTCTTCAACGTCATCAGTTTAGACTGATATTATTATCAAGCGTGTTGGTCATGTTTTGAATATGATGTTCTTATCAATGGCTTAGAGGATTTGGATAACTCATGCTAGAGCATAGGAAAACTATTTTCCAGAATTTAAATCAGGATTCTATTGATACTTAACTTTTGGAGGTGAATTTTTTGTTTACTCGGGACTCTTCAGCACCATTTAGCAATGACTTAGACTAAGTTTATGTTATTATATTTGAAACATATCACTTATGAGCTTCGCTCATGGAAACTTTTGGAAAGTAGGATCCAGGTCAAGGGCTTTTAAAGAAGCTGATTGGGGACACACTTGCAAAGGTATCCGTAACATGAGATCAGTACTTTCCTCAAGAATCTTGAAGTGCAGTTTCAAACTTCACGTCTTTTATCCTATAGGACTTGCGAGAACTTTCTATTCAATGGAGAGTTGACGAACTTGGAAGCAAAATGTTCCTTGATTACTTCCCAGAATTCCGCAGCAAGGAGGCACTGTAGATAAAATACACAGCATTGTAGGAAAGTCTTATGAAAAATCGCCCTTGGGATGCAAGAGGAGAATTTATTGGCAGCTGATTTCACCATCCGGTTTTGGTAAATTGCTGTTTTCTTTTCATCTCTTCTATTGGATCTCTTACCCCTTTTTTTCTTCTCAATTTTGGCTTCCCATCATCTGATATTTTTTGTTCTTTGATCTTCAATGTAATATTTATTACTGGAAAAGTAATTGCTTATAGTGGATCATGGGTATCAACAAATCACTAACTGTTGAAGATTCAAAGCCCTAATCTAAGTAGAATTACCGCCTTTATGTTGTTGTTGCATCTTAGGAAAAAGACAAAAAAGGCCCCTTGGAGCTTTAGCAAAGGTTATGAATCCGACAAGCTCAGATCCTATGGCTGCCCAGCGAATGTACTTTGTATCAACCTGGTGCCAGTGAAAAAAAAAAAAATTAAAGGTATTTTTTTTTCCTCATGCAGTTCATCTTAAATGATATATATTGGTCCAATTTCTGCATGTAAGAGATGGAAATCAATTTACAATTTGGCCCCTAAATTATATTGTCCCACTGAAAGACAAATTGACGTGTAGTGAGTTTCAAAATTTGAGGGACCAACTTGCTTACAGAAATAAGTCCATGGACTAAAAGCATTAGGGGAGAGATCTTTAAGAACCCATTTTGTATTTAGATTAATTGATTAAATATCTGAATGGTTTGGGTGGTTTCCTTACTATGAGTGAATAGGGTAGATAATTAGATACAGTCCGATATGTGGAAATTTAATTAATGATAGGGAAATCTAGGGAGGATTTTTAATGTGATAAAAATAATTTATTTTAGCAGCAAAGAGAAATTGGTGCAAAGTCAGAAAATTTAATATAGAAGATTTAAATTGTTGTTGGTTTCTTGACTTAAATATGTTAAAAGGCATTTCTCTGTGTGTTTTGATGACCTTTGAAAATAATAATAATAATATTAAAATAAATAATACATGTTTATAAATAGAATAAATGTAACAGGATGTGCTAGTGGTTTGATGGAACCAGAGCGGGGAGCCTAACTTACTTCAAGCCTAACCTAACCTATTTACTAAATAAGCTTAGGCTAGGTTCAAGCTTTTAATTAGGCTTATTTAGTCAAATAGGTAAGGCCTAATGTTTTCAAAGACTTAATATACGAGTCCAACAAGTTGACTTATTTACACACACATATTATAATATATTACAAATACATCATTTCTCATCATTTGATTTTTAATCAATTTATTTATTTTTATTTCTAGTTATATTTTCAAATATATAAGTAGATTATCATATTAATTTTAATATTGTTACTTATTATTATTGTATTGCATTATAATTGGTAAGTTATTTCAATTATAATATATTATAATCGATAAATTAGTCAGAATACTTGTAATAATAGTCCTGAAGTATGTTTGATACCAAATTGCTCCAGTTGGGGGAAAAAGCACGTCATATCAGATTTTTTCATCTCTCTCCCCATTTTTTTTCTTGTTTTCTTTCTGCGTCTACGATCAGAGAGGGAGAGCTGGAGAGAGCACTTCAGGAATTCTTTCCTCCACTCTTCATCTCCACTCATCATTCCTCTTCCCTATTGCCGGCAAGTGAGCGATTTTTAGTGGCTGTCGCTGCTACAGATCAAGGCATGGGGGTGTTGGAGCTGTCGAAATCTTCTCCTTCCTCTCCCCTGTCTGCACTACCGGGCTCCTTCTCTCTGTCCGACATCATACTGTTTTGGTGTGAATGAGGGAAATTCGATTCCTTCTTTCCATTTCTCCTTACTTCGTTGTGAGTATTGATCCCCTCTCTTCTCTCCCTATTTGAATAAGTATGTGCATTGTGATTTGGGGCTGAAAGTTCAGTCCTTGATATATTTTCCTTCCTGCCTACTATGTGCTTGTATGTGATGAACTGGAATTTCTCTTCTTGCTGTTGGACGTTGAATAGAAAGAGAAATTTAGAGTTTCTTTTAGCTAGCTTTGAGGAACAAGAAGCTTGATGATGTAGTTTGAATGCTAACGCACATGAGATGTTTGCAAAAATGTGTAGAAGAGTTGGAATGGAATAATTAAGTATAAAGACTAATATTATGGATTCAGGTTCAGTTTTAATAGATTTTAATTTATTCTTAATAAAGAAATGAATTTGCGAAATCATAGAAAATCTACATAGATGTTTGGAGAAATTTTTTGGGAAAGATATTTAAAAGTTAGACGGCTGATTGTATAGTTTGATTTTTGGAAGCACGTAAGGTGCTTGAAGGAATGTATGAAAGGAGAATTTTAGTTTATGGTGGCATATAAATATGATAGATGTATTCTTGTTGGGTAAATTTATTATAGCAGGCAATTATTCTTTACAAATGAAATGTTGGGCATGAAGTTAGAAAATTTTGGGGGAAAAGAGGATTATTGTTTAATAATTTAGGGACCAAGTTTGTTTATTCTTATGTTAGCTCTTGGTTGCATATAAAAAAAAAAATGTTTGTGCATGGCAGATTATGAATGAATACAAATGATTGATAATGTTGAATGAGTTATGGTAGAAGTTGTCTACTTTCTAGAGAAAGAGTTGGAAACTTTGAATATTATTTATGTAAGTGTTTGTTGAAGATTTATTGATTAACTCTTATTTGTGAGAGGTTGAGGTAGATTCTCTTTTCCAATTCTATAAATTGTTTGGATTGAAGATTTTAGAGTTATAAATGTATAAAAAGAAATAATAGTAATGTCCCTTTGGGCATTAGGGAATTAAGACATAGACAATATTACAAAGTGGCTAATTAGGAGTAAGTTATGTGTTTGGAAATGTTTCAAGTAAGTGGATAACATCTTGATCAATCTTATAAGTATATGTCATGACTTCAAGAGCTAAAGTAATGTAATTTAAAAAGAATAAATCAACACTAGTTGAAAAAAAATCAATTCTTTTATTTGATAAAAACAATCATGAAAATTGGTGAAGAAATTTTTTGAAACATTAATTGTGAATTTTTATATTCAAAGAATTGATGTTTTAAATAATTCTTGTGAGTTTGTTATTAAGAAGATAAAATTATATTTTAATCAGTGATTATTTCTTATATGTTTGAAATGTGATTTTGAGAGGATTATTATAAGCAGATTATTGATTGCTAATAGCAGTTTCATTAGTTTGTTGTGCTATGATTAATGACTAGTTAGTTTGACTTTTGTGAGCTTTATCCTCACATTCGTTATACAGGGGTCTCATCCAGTGTTTTGATTTTGTGGCTTTGAGTTATGTTTGATTATTATTACTCTTGTGGACATATTGCACATTTGTTTCTTAACTTAGATTGCATTTTAGTTACTTACCTTCGTGGATTGTGTATCTACGTTTGTTTTCATGGCATAAGTCACGTTCGATCCACTTTTGTTACTTATTCTGTTAAGTCTTAAAAAAAATAAATTTTAATTGTCTTGTATATGGATTTTCTCTAGTGGTTTTAATTTATAAATGTTAATACATTTTCTATTTATAGATCTATTCAATTTTTTGAAAGTGAGTCTTAAAGAACTTCATTTATTTTAAACTAGTTGCTCTTGAATTTATGTCATATGAAATATTTTAAGTGACTGTATTATATTGAACTATTCTCTTTTTGTTTGTGCATAAGAATCCATTATGATTGTTCATATGTATTCATTCAAATTTTATTACTAGGACATTATTTATTAGAAAGATTTTTGGCGTTAGATGATGTAGCTGAATCTATGTCTCGAGGTGTTCATTGAGTTGTTTTATCTATTACTAAATTGGAGTGGAAGAATTATTTCAGGCAAATTTCATTTGATGTAAATTTCATCTTGTATAAATTTCTTGGCCTAGTCCTAAGTGCTCCATGAAGGCTATAGGGAAAATCCTTGTTCCTTATAAGATTCTATAATTATTGGTAAGGAGTGGAGCCCCTCTATTTCAAATGTTCTTTGTTGTTAGGAAATCTGGAGAAGTCTCATTTTTAGGAGAGATTTATCCACTGAAATTTCTATAGGAAATAACTTTTGTTTGAATGAAAAGTATTGTAAAAAATTAACTAATAATCATATTTCTATATTAACTGTGTTTATAGTTTAAAATTTAAAGTTTCTTGAGTTAACACTTGTGAGATATGAGTTTCGTATTTTATCCCATGCTAGTACCTTATATTTTGGAACGTGACATTTAATTTCCCAATCCTTGGAAAACTATTTATAAAATATGTTTTCTTTGTAGAAGTTTTAAATTTGTTTTGTATATGTTTTATCTTTTACGTAAGTTACTCTTCCCCTTCCATGAAGTGATGTTCAGATTACAAAGTTCTCTTGTCTGTTTTCAAAATATAAATTCTCTCCTTCATCTGGTATGCATATATTAGAAATTTTTTTCTTGTTTTGAAACCTTATGTTAAGTAAAACAAACAGAACATGTACCTCAAATTTATATACCTTAGCACCAAATATGACAATGTAAGTACCTAAGGCCCGCACAATACAATTCAAAATCTAATTTCACATTCCCTTTTTCATATTCAATAGAACATCAAGTCAATTTCATTGGTTGTGACGGCCAAACAAGGCTTGAAGCAAAGAACTGACTAAGCATGTACCTTATAAATCGCTAAGGGGACAAAAAAAAAAAAAAAGTAAGAGACGAGCTCAAATTCATACAAAAGGTTCTTAATTATGCAAATGAACGAGTTTATTAGCTACTCTCATGTCAATTTCAGGATGGGAGAGTAGAGGAAACTAGATAAGCTCTTAGCCGGTATCTAGGTCTTGCTTCTTGAATGTCTTGGACAATTCCCAGTTCCCGCATGTACACAACCTATGAAAGAAGTTAAATAAATATCAATTTTACCCAAAAAAAAAATTATGCAGAAATTAGTCAACTCTATATAGAGTATCAACTTGTGTAAAGAGGTATGTATAGCAATTATGGCTGCGTGCATGTGTGTATGCATTTTAAAAAAATAATAATTATTGGTTGCTTTATTTTTAGCATGTTTTGATATTGGTCCTTTTACTCTTTTTTTTTTTTCATTGATTTAAACCTCTTAAGTTTCATCTGTTTAGGACGTTAGTACTTATATATTTTAAATATGATTATAAGAACTTAATGGTGGCTAGCATGTATATGAACTCCACTTATTTTTGTGTTGGCTTGTTAAACTTATGATGAGTTGTATAAAAAATGAATAAAAGACCGAAACAAAAAAGAAGAAGCAAGACATTGAATAAAAAGTCCTTAAATATGTAATGGATGATGCTTCAAAAGGAAGAAGACAAGATATATAGGGCAAATAAGCATAAAGGTTACTAGCCATTTTACTCATATAATGTCTGACTTATTGAAATTTTACCAAGTTAGCAACAGATTTAACAAAGTTATGTATACATCAGCAAATTTAACTCGTACACACAACCTATAAAGGAAGAGGTTTAAGAAATATCAAATTTTACCGAAATAAAAAATTATGCAGAAATTAATCAACTATAGTATCAACTTCTGTATGGAGAGGTATATATAGCAGTTGTGTGTGTGTGTGGGGGTGTATATTCCATCAAGGTTCTTTTATACTTAAAACAAGCCTAATAATAAAAAATTTATTGGTAAGAAAATATGCAAAATAACAAGAGCAATGAAAAGAACGATTTTCAATCCAAACACTTTTAAGAAACACTTATACCAACGAAATACTGTCTCTGCATCATCTTTTGGAAGCCTACTTGGTATGGTTTTGTAAAATGATTCAGTAAACATCAGATATTTAAGCAACTATGCTGAAACAAACAAAACATGTACCTAAAAACAGAGACTAGAAATTAATATACCTTAGCACCCAGGCTGAAAGAGATGCTCAATGGAATGCCAAAAGTTTGAAATCCTCTCCCAACAGCTACGGCCTTCTTTATTCTCAACTTCATTGGGATTGTTTAAGTTGTTACAATGAATCTCAACTTTATCTCTGGTTTTTTGGTATCTTTTGACGTCTCTGCACAACAACCACACTTTCTTCTTTTAAACAGTACTAACTTAATATTTATAGTAAAATGATACTCCTCCTATATTATCTATAAAATTTACATATTTCTTAATGAGACATTTTACAAAAAAACATAAAACGTAAATTTTTGAGTTTTTTTTTTTAAATGTCCTTTACAAATCCTACATCTCCTTTAAACATGTGATTGTACGTAAGATCAAATTTGGCATTTGATAGACGATTGAAACTAAATTATGTCATACAAGTATCACCAAAATTAAACAACACACGAAAAATAAGAAAAATTTTGTAAGATATGAAAACAAATCCAATACTACAAATAAACAATGCCATTGGAAACAAAAAATTGAGAAATATAATACATATATGAATTAAAAGATTAGATTAAATTTATACATTAAATAAAGATTTAAATAGCCATCAAACACGGAATAATATAAAATATAAACTTACAATTAAAATAAAAATATTTGTCATACGTACCTTGAAGCATTTGTTCTTATTTTATGCACTTTGTTAGGTGGCTTGGCATTTGGGCTAACTTTGATTCTATCATTGATGCTACTACAGCACTCATTCCATGTTTCAGCATCTTCTTTACACACCACACGCCATCCACACTTCCTTATTTTAGACTTCGGTGACTCATCATTTTCAAATGGTTTTCCAGTAGAAAATACCATTTGAAGTTTGTTTACGACTAAAGAGGAACAACGAATATATATAATACAGAGTTGAGGACTGCAATTTGATTGTAACCAAATGGCAGAGCAAACAAACGTTTTTGGAAATTCATCATTCGGAAATCTGCAAGTCCACCAAACGAAATCAACCTCATGGACATATGCCAAATCGTTTTCTATCACTAAGCATGTGGCTATGCCCCACCATTCACTTCTTCGACAATGATCAGGTATGCTTACTATGAATGACACATTTGGATCATTGAATTCTTTCTCACAAAAGTAGTCTTGATTATGAAACCATGATGGCACTTCACTGCCAGGAATTATTAATTGGCGAATGGGTTGCATGAAGAAGTCAGGCTGTGACAAAACAAATAGTAAGTCTTAGAAGTATAATAATTAATGTGTAAAAATGGAAAATATATACATATCAAATATATATGCTCAATATCCCAAAAAAAAATTGAAACTCATGTAATTAAAAAAAAAAACTCACAATTTGTGAATCCCATGTAATGATTCCAGACCTGTTACTTAAAAGGAAAAATTTATATCCTCGAGATTCATTTAATATTGAGACGTCATTGATATTATGAACCTATAAGGGAAAAAATTGGCTATATTAAAGAAGTATAATGATTAATAATGTGAAAGAACAAGTAAAGAGAAATAAAATGAACCTGAGATTGGAATGAATCAATGAACTCCCATAGTTTCTGCGAACATATGTAATGTTTCATTGGTGGACTACCACTTGCGAGAATAACTGAGAGATTTGACGGAAGTTGTGGCAAGGACTTAAGCATTGGGCAATCAAGGAGACCAATAAATTGAAGCTTCGAAAGATTGGAAATGAGGCCAGATGGTAAGTCAATAAAATTGTTTCCACTCAAATCTAATACTGTCAATTATGACAACCTGCTAATGTCATCAGAAAGTGATCCATCATAGAGATTACAATAATCTAAATGTAATTCGCTCAAGAATGATAAAGAAGGGGACAAGAAAAGATTTATTGAGCTTAAAGGCCTTTGAAGCCCAAATGCCTTCCTAAGGAGGGAGAAGCTACTCCATGATGTTGAAGAACGTACTTGACCATTGTACTCACAAATTGATTGTGCCTCTTTAGAAAGTCGACGACCCACATAATTAAGCACTTCCAAAGTCCCGTTTTCATTCAAATCTTTTGGCATCCTTGAAATCTTTGGCCAGCCAGAAATTGTGATAATCTTCCTGCTATCAATTTACAAACATTATTTGGAAGGCAAACAACATTTTTGCAGCCTGACAAATTTAATTCAACAAGACCAATCAAATTGCCTAGTGATTCAGGTAGTTTGGATATAGCGGTGTCCTTTAAATCAAGCTTAGAGAGACATTTCATATCCTTTCCAAACTCAGGAAGTTTTCTAATTTTTGAACAATCGGATAGAACAAAAGCCTGTAAGCTATCCATCTCAAATTTTTTTGGAAGGGTTTTAACTTTTGTGCAACCTTTTAAATTAACAATGACAAGATTCTTGTGTTGCCCAAGAGACTGGTGAATTTCAACAAGGTTAGAACACCCTTTGAGGATCAATCGTTCAAGATTAGGAATTCCATCAAAATCTGAGGTTTTGATGAGGTATTTGGAATGAGATAAATCAATGGACATCAGCCTTTGTAGAGACTTGAAAAGAGAGAAAAAAAAAAAGAAACAAGAAAACAGTAAGTTCTCAAAACCAAAAGCTAGTTATAATAATAAGTGCATTAAATTATGGACAAGCAACTAAAATGAAAGGACAATAATTACCTGTGCCCCACTGCAAAGTTCTTTTACTTTGCTATGTTGCATTTTTAGGTGAACAAGTTTATCAAGTTGAGTATGTCTAGGCAGAGAATCTAAAGGATACCCCTCCCATTCAAAAACTCTCAACTCATTGGAAAGAGATTTAAGTCCACCAGGAAGATTCAATTGGCAAGGAGAAACATGTGATGAGCAACTTGAAATGATAAGTAACTTGAGATTACGCATTTGTACGAAGGCTTCAGGATCCCAAAGTGCATCAGATGATTTTTCTAGTGTTAGAGCTATACCTCGAATTGCTCTCGTACCCTGTAAAATAATAAGTCAAGTTAATAATGTACCAAATTCATAAAATGAAATAATAAATAAAGGGTGCACATACAATCACAAGAACTTAAGTGGTGTTACCTTATTTCTTTTTAGGATATCATTGGCATCCTTCAAAGACAATATCCTAGAACGCTTACTGGCATCATTAGGTGATTCTTGAAGGACAATATATTTACCCATATCTTGAAGAATATCATGCACCCACAGACGCCCTTCATGATTGATTACTAGCAGTGATTTCTCAGTAAGAACTTTTATTCCAAATTTTGGGTGAAGATCTTCATCAAATGTTTCTAAAATTTGTATGACATAATCTTTGGCCATCCCATTGAAAAAGCAAGCAACATCCAAGAATATAGTCTTCTCCTTATCATCTAATCCATCAAAACTCACTTTAAGTATTTTCAATATGTCCTTTGGAGGAACCTTCTTGAACTTGGCAAGTGCATCCTTCCATTCCACTATAGTTCTTCCGCAAAGAAATGAACCTAACACTTTGAGAGATAAAGGAAGACCTCCAGCATACTTTATCACATCTTTAGAAAGCTTTAAGTAACCTTCATTTGGTTGATTTTTTCCTTTAAAAAGCATTTTGATGGAAAAGTTGAAGTGACTGGTCATCACTCAAGATTTTGATGTTATACTGAGCAGATACATCATATGATGATAACAAATGCATATCTCTTGTTGTTATTAATATTATATACTCCCATTGCCAAACCATCCTTGCTCTCGGGCCAAATATTCAAGTTGGCTTATCTTACTCACATCATCAAGGACTAGTAGAATTTTTCTATTCATCACCATTTTTTTTATCAACGTCATTCCGTCATGACAATTATCCACTTCTACACTTCTTTTAGTCAAAGAAAAAAGAAGTTTTCTTTGCAATGAAGTCAAGCCACCTTTTTCAAATTTCTCTCTGATATTATGAAGAAAGCAACAAACCTCAAAGTCTTTGCGTTTTTGCTAATAAAAAGGTCTAGCAAGAGTAGTTTTGCCTAAGCCTCCCGTTCCCCAAATTCCTATAGATCGAACTTCTTTCGAATCACTTGCTATGACTGACTCCAACTCATCTAATTTGCATTCAATTCCAACTAACACACCAAGGTCAGATGGTGATTCATCAAGTAACTTAGACATCATTTCTTTAGCAATAGTTTCAATGAATTTTGTTTCATGCCTACATATAGAAAAATAAAAATTTAGCATGATCTTTCTTTTAGCTAAAAATAGCATGATTGTTTAAGTCAATTGAATTATAAATTTTCATGAATAAACACTATAAATAGTTAATGTGAGTTATAAAGAAACATGACCACAAATGTAACAAATTTAAATTTACTGTGAAACTGAATTTAACTTATCAAGAATAAGCCATATATATCTTAATTAAAAAAAAGAATAAGCAATATATATTTTTATTCATAGAAGAGCTGAACGTAGCTTCTAGTATTTATTCGCATGGGCCTACACCGACTTTAATTAATAAGAATATTCACAACAATTTAACTTTCTTGATATTAAAAAAAAAAAAAGCAAAATCTCTAGATCTAAGCATCGGCATCATGCCATTTTGAAATCTAGTATTTAATTTACAATTAATGAGAATATTTCGATGTGCCAACATTTCCTTTATCATAATTATTAAATTAATGTATTTCAATGTTAAATAGTTGGGTTTTTAATTTTTGTGTAAAAGAACAAATCTAATTTAACTTAGTTATAGTTTTCAACTTACAATTATTATCCTCATTTCTAAGACTCAACAATTAAAATATATAGAAAATCATACTAATCATAAGCCATGAATAGTCTAGCTGATTTCAAACTATTATCTTTGATATTATTGATAAGTTGCTTCTAACATGTTTTCAGTATAACTAAAGAAACATTAAAACTTATTAATTCTCTCTAAAAATTTTAATAAGTTCTTAACTTGACTCTTATATATTAAATATACATATTTTAACAATCTACTTTCTTTCACTAACATTTAATGAGTGATAAAAGAAAAAGTTTGTAATAAAAAGTCAATAACATATCTTATAGATTGGACTAAAAAATACATCTTTTCCCTTCTTTATAAATAGAACCGGAAGGAGTAAAGATAGGTTTACAAAATTGCTTCTCCCGTATAATCCTATTTGGCCTCGTAGCTATATTTCTAAATTGAATTAAACTATTAGGTTAAAGATGCATCAATGGGGATGAGTTATCAAGACTGTTTGATGATATATATATATATATATATATATATAGATTATAGTAATGGGAATGTGAAAAATACTTGTCAAAATTATATGTGTGTGTACATACGTTGCTGATTCCTAGACATTGAAGTAATTTAATTAACACATTATTGTTTGAGATTTTTTTAGGGTAATAAGTTGTATTATTTAAATTTTGAGTAGTATTTTTATTTTATTTTTAGAATTTTACAGAAAAATACAATATCAGCTTAAAAGTTCAAATCTAAGCTAACTTTTCCACTATAAAAAAGAGAAATATTAATATTAATTAATTAGTAATGAAATTTCAAAACACAGACCTATAAGTCGACCACTAAAATTAACTTTACACTACATTAATTTAGTGAAAGCTTCAAGTAACTCTCAAAAAGGGGAAAAAAAGAAAAGAAAAATGAATAAAGCTTCATGTGGTTATAAATTAAAGTTTATTTTGGTAGTTCCAAATAATAATAATAATTACTAAGAGAGAAGTAGAAATTACTTATTTGGGAGTCCCAACCAGATATGTTAGCAACTTCTTCTAAAGCATCCCTCCATGTTTGCACCTTCATATTGTCTTGCGTAAATCTTCCTTCATGCTTCATGAATGCTGCTGCAAAACTTCCCTTTTGTTTCCTCACATCAGATGGATCTACATTGTGGAAGATTGGAAATACTTGAAGACCCAACTCTTTTTTTGAATGAAGGATCTTTTGGAGCTCATCCAAACACCAGGTTGAAGAAGCATATCCTAGGGAGAGCACAACAATTGCAGAACGAGATTCTTCAATTGCTTGAAGTAAACTTGGGTTAATATATTGTCCCCTTTCAAGTCCTTCTTCATCCCTGAAAGTTCTTAATCCTTGGCGTATTAAAGCATCATACAAATGATCAGTAAAGCCTGTGCGAGTATCTTCACCTCGAAAACTCAAGAAACATCATACTTCGGTCTCTTAGTTGATCCTCAAGAGCTTGAAGAACACCCAACTCCATCAGCATCGAGCGCCATTGCAAGGATTCGGAATCTGAACCAAAGTACAAAATTTTGAAAAATACAAAATAAAAAGAATATGCATACAAAGTAAGGGGCACTTTTTAAAGAAAGTGAACAAATTTTTGCGAATATCCCATTACATACAAATTTTCCCGTCTTTTGGAGTCTGAAAAAAAAAAGAAAAAGAAAAAGAATCTTCAGCAGATCACGCTGAAAGTCCCAGGACACAAACCAGCAAATAATCCATTTTGCTGAAGAAAATAAGACTATAAACTCCAAGATTCACTCTTACGGCAAGATTAATTCACTCTACATGATGGAAGTAGAATATGTGTATTTATGATCAGCAAATCTTGCTCTATATATATATATATATATATATATATATATATAATATGAGGCAATTGGACTGCGAATGATGTTAATGTTGCTAGTAAAATATAATAAAAGAAGCATGAGATATCCATCAAAAAATAAAAGAAAAAATAATGTTGATGTGCCTGCTAGTACCTCGTATCGTTTATTCCAATTTTCGGTGTTTTGCAAAAGTTTTTGGATGTGCAGTAGCCTAAGGGTTCTCATAGATTCAATTTTGTATAGTTTTAAGGAAAAATCAAATCGGACCAAATCAATCAGTTCACCAAAGCTCGGGACTTATTTAATTTTTGGTTTGGTTCAATTTAGTTTAAGGATGGATCAAGTTTGACTTTTTTAAATATTTTTCATAATCGATGTATATATGTATGTATGTATGAATATTTATTATGAATTTTAACTATTAAATAGTATTTTCAATCAGAATAATCTCTTGAGAACAAAAGAATATATTCTAACAATTCTTTAAAATGTTTAACTATTAAAAATTAATACGTTATCCTTAAAAAAATTAATTATAAAATTAAAAAATTATCACAAAAACTATAAATAGTTTTTAACTAATTGCAACGTATTTTTATTAGTGATTTATGGGTAAGAAATTTGGGAAAGAGAAAAATAATTAGACAAATTCATAAAATATATAAAATAGCTGTAATAAAGCTTAATTCGGTTTGTTTCAAGTATTAAAAGATAAAAATCTAAACCAAACTGAACCAATCAGTTTTGTAAAACAAAAAAAATTTAAATCAGACCTTATTTATAATCGGTTTTAATATTTGAATCGGTCTTGTCAACAAATCTACCTAGATCCATTCTCACACAATTCCGAAAGCAAAATAGAGTGGATTCAATTTGAAAAATTAGAAAACAAAATAAGGGAAACTTCAACAGGCAGTGCACTCAAGACTCTATTCCAGCAAGAAACTATGTGCGAAGGTTAAATAATCGAAGAAGAACCTGTGCAAATAGATAATTTCACAGATCGATCTAATCATAAAAATAATGATTTCATAGAATAGATCTAAAAAAAAAAACAGAGAGCAAAGGAGAAAAAAGGAACCTGAAGGATGAAATAAATAATGTTGAGGCCAAGTCTTGTGTTTAGTCTTCAGTCCCTGATACATGCAAAATCTATGAGGGGGGTGTGTCTGTGTGTTTGTAGATGAAGCTCCAAGCTAAGCTAAGGCATATATAAGACTCAGTCCCAAGTCATCGTGGTCGTCAAGGTGTATATAATATTATATACCCAATCCTTAACCGCGTGACTGTGTCTCTCTTCCCAAAACTCACTTTGGAGAGGGACAAAGGAAAATGGCATGCACGCACCTTTGATTACCAATCTATATAATATACTTTTTTGGTAAACGTCTTTATGTAACATTTAATATGAATATATATGAATCTGTGGGAGTGAGGTCGAGTCTTTTAATTTTTTAAAGTGTAATTGGATTAAATTTACAAAATTGAAGTTTATAAATTGAAGATAGGATGAAAGTCGATAAGATACTACTGTAATTTAATTTACATTTAGATATTTAAATTTTTTCAAAAAAAGTCAGTTTAACAAATTTAAAAACCAAACTCGGCAGCTCCAGGCTCTTGGGTTTAGTGTTTTTTCCCTGAAAAATTTTCATCCTATTATAAAAATTAACTAAGTATGGAAACCGTTTATATAATATGGAAGAATAACAATTAAGTTCCAAAACACTGATTTAATTATAGTTAGGTTCTAAAACATTTTGAATGAAGACGACACTACAAAAAAATTGATTTTTAATGGCGAATTTTGTCATAGCTGAAAGTTGAAAAGTCATAAGTCGCCACAATGTTGCCGCGAGAGACCTTGTCACTGATTCTATCTGTGATGATAATAAAATTTGCCGTTGAAAGTTGAGAATCAGTGATGACACATGTCGTCGCAAAAAAGAAAATTTGTCGCTGTAGAAACTATCAATCAACGGCAACTTTTTTGTCGCCGTTGAAAAGTAATATTGGTTTTACCCACCATGTGCCACCATCTCACCTCTCCACAAGTCGCCATGTCATTGCTCCATGTGGGGCCACATCACCCCTCCACATGGGCCACATCACCCTCTACTTGCCGCCCCCACCTCACACCATGTGTCATTATGTCACCAATTTATATTTTCATTTCACAAGTTGTCTCCTCCAAAGTTTGAACCCATGATGTTCCCCTTTGAACCCATGATGTTCCCCTTTTATGTCCTACTATTTTGCCACTGAGTTAGAATGAACCTGTAGTCTATTACTGTATAATTAAATATACATATATGTTATTAAACTATGCAAACACACACACACATATTAAATATTCAATATTACAAAATCTCATTACTATCATTAAATACTTCAATTTAATTCTTTTAATGTATTCAAATTGCAAATTATATTATTTATTTTGTCTAAAGTAAACTATAAATATAGTTGATACAATATTATTTGTATTATTTATTTTAATTTTTTTTACTTCTTGATGTTATTATATTATTTATTTTAATGTTCATATTTATAATTATAATATAAAAATATCTAAGAATAAATAGTAAAAATATATATGATTATACATTTCTTTAATTATTTATTTTTATAGCTAGTTTTATTTAAAATTTTATTTTTACTTTTAATTAATAATAACTCTTAAGTAATGTAATTGAGTTGTTTTTACATCACACTTTACTTTTTTAATTAGTTTTCATTTTTAAATTATAATCTTATAAGAAAATTATACACTATATTATCTAATTTTTTTTATATTTATGTCACAAGATAGCATCAAACAAAAAAATCGTATAGCATCACATACATAGGTATATTTCATATATTGTAAAAGTTAAAAGTGAAATTTTAAAATGTCTCATTTTTTTTCTTTTCATCTTTCTCTTTCCTATCATTAGCTGTTAAATTGGGAATATCTAAATTGACATTAAGCTCTAAATTTACTAGTATTAAATGCAGAATTTGAATTAAAAAATTATATTAGATGAAATATCATTCTATGAATGAATAAATTTAACTATCACATGTCTAATTATTGTAAACAAGTAGTGTTATTGTTTAAAATATTAATTTAATCATAAAACATTTAAAAATAGAGACTCATTGCCACATTATATACATTTCAAATTAAAAAAAATCAAACATTAGATTTTTGAATGAATTTATCACTTCATATAGGGGTATGCGTTTGTCAATTCAATTAGATTTGATGTTATTTGACCAAAACTAATTAATTAAACTGGCCTAAATAGTTGTATTGAATCAAACAAACATTACTTGATAACAAAAATTAATGTAAAATAATATGATTTGGCTTAATTCTTTACTCTGACTCATTAGTATTAAATAATACCTTAATCTTATCTTAAAATAATTTCATTATTTTAAAGTTACAATTTAACCATAAAATATATTAAATGAAAAATCATTATCTTATTTTATATATTCATTATAAAATTACAATAATACAATAAAATTAATTTATTAAAAAGTTAAATATTAGATTAAACAAAAATAAAAAATAATGTTGAAAATATAAAATCAAACTTTCAGTGTATTATAACATTAGTTTTTAAAAAATTATAATACATTTTAAAATATGTTGATAATCAACGACGATTCTAAAAAGTCATCGCAGATTGTCAACTTCCTTAGACCTTTGGCGGTGACATGCACTTGTCGTTGCTGAAAATTTGACAATCAATGACGACTATATATTGTCACCGCAAAAATCACCCTTTCAGCAGTGACTTTGAATGTCGTCATGAAAAGTCAAATTTTTAATGGTGACTTTTTTTTTCATCACAAATTGTTCATTTTCAACGGCGACTTTTTAGAGTTATTGTTGAAAGTAGCCACTGAAAGTTTTTTTTTTTTTTTGTAGTGTGGATTGCAAAATTCTATTTTGAAAGTTGCAAATGTGAGAGTTTTAGCTGCAAATCTGATAGAGATGAAGATTCTGAAAGGATACCAGTGTTTTAACCGTGATGATTGTTTTGAATATTTGAAAGAAAATATATCTTGATAATTTTAAAATATTAATAAATCTATTAGAAATAATTAAGACACTTATTGAATAAATGTACTTAGATCATTCACCGAATTTAAATCCCTCAAAATCATCCCAAAATCTTCCTTACCTATATTTCTCTCCTATAATTAAATTCTCTAATTGGCCTTGCATATATACACACTATTTCACATTTTTAAGCAAATCTTAGTCCTTAACAAAGTACTTAATTATCTTTAAACTAATACTATTTTTTTATATTTATTCTTATTTAATAGGGTATTTCATTTTAAAAGAAATATAAAATAATTTATTTATTATGGGTACTTTTGAAAAAAAACATTAATTATACCTTGAAATATTAAAAATATCTTATATATTTTAACATCTAACCTCTCAAAACATTTTAAAAAAAAAGGAGTATATGTTAAGTATTGGGCCCAAGCTCGGGCATTCTCCTCGAGTAAGTGAATTGAGGCCGATTTCCGTCTTAACGTTTTAACAGATCATTTAAACTTGTCATTCTATAT